GGGGAGGGAAGGAAAGGGAAGGAAAGGAAAGGTAAGGGAGGGAAGGAAAAGGAAACGAATGGAAAGGAAAAATGAATATATAGCAAAACGACACGAATTAAGGAAACGGTACAAGAAAGAAACAAGAAAAACAGAAATAAAAAGAATCAATATAGATTTCATGTTATTTAATCAATCCTTGGTATCCTAAAATTTGCTGCGAATTCAAAGTCGACCTTTTTAAAGTTGAAAACTATAATTACATCTTTATTCGATTGCGATGCAACCTCTTTTTCATTTGTTTCTTAAAGAGTTAATATTGAATTAAATCCTTTAGTATCCATAGAGATGTGTGCATCTTATTATACATCTCAATCACGAACAGTTTCGAATTCCAAATTACCGCTGTGCTTCTTGATTACAGACTCATTTGCACAGGGTTAGCCTCGAGTTTGTGCAAAACATTCACGTGTTCCAGTCAAGGTCCGTCGAAGTTTCGAAATGTTTGTATTGTGGAAGTTGTGCATTCTTTACTTTACCTTTGGTATTTGTGAATATTTAGACCCTGATACGAGGCTAACCCTGTGCAAACGAGTCTGTAATCAAGGAACACAGCGGTAATTTGGAATTCGAAACTGGTCTATCACTTGAAGTGTCGTAAGCAAGTCGTTCAGGATAATCTTGGTAATGCCTCATATATTTCGCAAGGCAATTTTTTTGTACTTGTAAAGTGCTTTTGGGCATTTTGTTTGGAATTAGCGCTATAGGAGTAAATAGATATTATTATTATTTCAATCTCATGAGAATTGGAAACCTATTGTCATGTCCTCCAAATTGAGATTGATTCCGACCGGCTGCAGGGGGTCTATTTGTGTCATCAGCACTATGTTCGACAGTTCTGGGGAAAGATCATACCTTATAAATCTGCGTTCATTTTACCAACATTCACTACTGTCATTTCAATATCGATTTTCTCATTTCATTTTGATATTTTTTCTACATTTGTTTACTTTCCAAAAATCGAGTAAACTTGAATAAACTTTAGGTTGTTTTGCTTTGCGGCTGTTCAGAGCCGTGCACAACGCGCAACCGTATGTGTACGGAGTACTCAATTTGAACATATTCTTCCACTGAAAGTACTCGTTATAAGCCGTATCGTTTTGATCCAAATACTTAAGATAATCCGCCAAATTTTTTACTGTCTCAAAATCTTCGACATTGATAAAAGAATCAGGTATTGCTATACTATCGTAGTCAGCACCTCCCATTACTACGGGGATCAGTTCATTTTCCAGGGCGTTTTCCCAATACTTTTCTGAAATGTAGTCTTGGCACAAACTGTTTTCAAACGCGAGGTAAAATTTGTACTTCGAAATCTTTTTCTTGCAATCGTTTGATAATCGAGAATTTGATCCCCGCTTACAGCTTAAGTTCCCACATTGGCCATATATATCAACATTTACATAACGGGTTAATTTTTGAACATAGTCATAGCGTCCGATAGAATCGTCACAATTACTGCTGATCCACGCTATCATCTTTGTTCTTTTCGCTGCGAAGTTTCGATGTTTTGCTTCATTTTTAAATGCCAAGGCTTCGCTACAAGATAAAGGTTCATGGATCCCGTACGGTGTAAACACATCGGAGTCTGTCCTATAACTCATCGTCCAATTGAAAATATTTCTGTAATCTCCCGTTTTAGAATTCACGGGACTTTCCAAGTTGAAGTAAAACCATATTTGATCTGATTTTGTTCGTTTGGGTAAAACTAACGGCAAGTCTGCATCGTGGAAACCAACTGCATTGGCTGTGTCGAGAACACTCTTATTATAAGTAAATTTACAATTAAATCTGCAGGGGTAGTGTTTATCCCATCGCAAATACCAAGGTCCCGTGAAGAAATCTGTGTACAGGAGAATAACTGGTTCTTGTTTTTGATCTTTCAATTTCGTTTTCTCGTTTGTCCTCAAGTACTTTAAAGCTACTTTTGCAGGATGATCATCCAGCTCGTTCCACAAAATAAAAGCCATTGCCAAGCAGTACAGTAATAGGATTACTTTCGTGATCGTTCGTTTCATGATGCGCAGACAATGGTGACACTTTGAATTTTTAGACTAAAAGCCTACACGGACTTTGTAGACTAATAGAATGGAGTTTGTAGAGTAAATGAATCTGTACTAGTGAAGGTTCGGCATTAAAAAATACTAATAATCAGTTTGTAGGCTGATAGAGGATATAAGATCGTAAATGACATTTTTCCTTCAAAATCCTTGGCAACCAGAAGGTGTTAGAAAGAATTTTGCGCTTTGTGTTTCACTTCAAAACCGTTTTATTGACAAGAGGCTTAGATAAAGTGTCAAAACGAAACAACAGACTATTACCTAGTGGCTTCTCTTACACGCGCTGTGGTTAATGGGAAGGATTTAGTGAGTTCGCGGCGTATCCCTTCCTTCCCAAAAGCCTTTACGCCCATTATTCGTCTTCCCATATTCTTTTGCTAATAAAAGAAAATTTAAAAAATTAAACCTAAGTGATCGCAGGGTACAAGTCTGACTGAGCTCTTTTGGAAAATAAAAATGAAATTAATTTTACAGCATCCTTTGGATGATTATATAATTTTAATTTTTTTTTTTTTTTTTGCGATTTTTCAGGAGACCTTATCTACGACGATACCAACAGCCATCTCTGGTGGAAGTAGTCTTACATTACAGGAAATAATCATCATTGGAAACTGTGAAAAACAGGTAGCGATGATAGAACGATGTTGGACAAAAAGAGTTGAGAATTTTTGATAATATCGACGTTAAATAGAATTTTCGTATACGATATTATTTAAATTAAGCTTTCTCTTCCCTCTACCACAATATTGGTTCTTTGGTAATGTTGTTGATGATGATGAAAGCGAAGAAGACGACGATGATGATGATGAAGACGACGATGATGATGGTCATGATGAAAATAATTGATGTTGAAGATGATGACTTAGGCGAAGACGGTGATGATGATGAAGACGACGATGATGATGGTCATGATGAAAATAATTGATGTTGAAGATGATGGCTTAGGCGAAGACGGTGATGATGATGAAAACGACGATGATGGTCATGATAAAAATAATTGATGTCGAAGATGATGACTTAGGCGAAGACGGTGATGATGATGAAAACGACGATGATGGTCATGATGAAAATAATTGATGTTGAAGATGATGACTTAGGCGATTACGGTGATGATGATGAAAACGACGATGATGGTCATGATGAAAATAATTGATGATGTTGATAAAATGTTGATGTCTGCCCGTTTGATCTGAACATTCCCCAATCTATTTCCAGGTAAAGTTCAGCGAACTGACGCTGGACATGTTTCGTATGTTACAAGCTCTAGAACGAGAGCCGGACGACTCTTCTCCACGAACCCTCGTAACACCGTCCTCTACTACAGACCTACAGCACGAGAAGGTAGAGTATCCGTACCTTTGTTAATAGATTATTGATTGTGTCCATATATCAAAATCTTAACCGTACCGCAAGTCATCACGCAACGTTGCGTGACGGATGCATGTGACGACCCAAAGAATGATTGTGTTGAAGGTAATGTTTGTTTTGATAGGCTGCCTTAGAAAACAGCAGTTCTAGTCGTCCTAATCCTCACAAGTATCTTCTGTATAAACCTACCTTTGCTCAGCTGCATGTCTTCTTGAGCGTTGGATTTAAGGTATGTGTTCCATTTCTTTTACCATCCATTCATTCCCACTCATCCATCCATCCCATCAGTCCTTCCACTTTCTTCTTCCTTTCCTTGCTTGTCCTTTTCATTTCATTTCCATTCTTTTTACCCTTTTATTTTATTTATTCATTCATTCTCATTCTTTCGTTGTTTCACAGGAGCTTCCCACCAATGGAGTCATGTTGGTTTACGTGTCGGGTGACGCATGCGCACCAGCACCAAAGTCAGGCCTGGAAGGTACGTCATTTATTTCTGCCAAAGCGCTTGTTCTTAGTACTATCTTCTCTACAGCTATATCAAAAACATGTGTACTATGAACGATTTGAACGATATATAATTTTCCCAAACTTTATCTGCACGTTCTTCCGGTATATTTTCTTCTGTGCTGACATTGTTTACATATGAATATAATAACATGCAGTAATAGCTTCATCTACCTTGTTGGAAATAGCAGTATACATCTATTTCAAAACACGTTGTCATCGCCAAAAATGATAGGCGATAGGTAATTACGACATGGAAATGGTTGAGGACAAAGAACATTGAATCAGTCTCAACACTAAGGTCCACGTTCTTGAAGCAGAAACACAAGTCATTCTAGCTATTCTTGGATCTTGGAATGACCTATCTCCTATCGCTTTTCGCCTATCACCTATCGATGACAACCTTTTTCGAATTAACAGATCAAAAACAGTTTTCCGTGTTTGCAGATACTGTGATCAAAACACGCGGGATTTTGAGAGAACACGAGAGGAGCGTAGGAAACCACGACGCGTAGATTAATATTCTGTTTTTTGATCTGTTTTATAAAATAACAAACACGTCAAAAAACGAAAAAGTATCGTATTATTCTGATGTATTATTGTAAAGGATGACGCGAGTGTGTTTTGATAAAACATGGTTTTCGAGTGTGTTTTCATCAAACATGGTTTTCGACCAATCGTAGCGCGCGTACCATCCCAATTATTTTATAAATGGGTATATAACACAGTTCATGCATAATACACCATAAATGTGATGATTGAAGGTACGTACGAGGAAGGTGGAGTTTTAACCTACAACAAGAAAACTGATGATGATAATCCTTCCAAGAGGCGGGCAGTTTTCAAGGAAGTTAACTGGTAATACTTTTATTTTTTCTCTCGTGGGAATAGACATTACAATTCGTGAGCTACTGTATGCAGTGTGCATGGCTATGATTACGTATTACTCTAGATTACACCAAGGCTATCATCATAGTGTTATTCAATTTTTGATATTGTATTCTATTGATTTTATCTGTATATGGAAATAAACTCTCATTGTTGTTGCTGTTAAATACATGTTGATGTAGGATTTCTTAAAGTGTTTAGCTCGGCCGAATATAATTTAGAGTTTTTAAATATTTAGTGAATTTCATTTATTTTCTAGTCTGTATCCAGAAGATCTTATACCGTTTACTCGTAAACCTTTGGTGATTATCATCGACTGCTCAAACAGCCAGGCATTTAAGGTATGAAAACGCACAAACAACCAACCAAATAACGACGAAGAAAGAGAGAAAGACCAAGAAAGGAGAGGAGAGGAGTGAGGTGACGTGAGGTGAGGTGAGGTGAGGTGAGGTGAGG